GCACCAAAATAGCAATATGTGACAAATACCAAACCCAAAAAATATTACCTAAAAAGAAAATTATTAGTTAAAAATATCAACTATAATAGCAAAAAAATCCTCACTAAAGTAAGGTATAGCAAACTGCATACTAACGGCAGCACCACAAAACGAATACCAGAACGTTGTCTGGTAGGGATTGAAACTGTCTAAAATTTTCTTAATCGTTTAATCGTTTAATGTTTAGCTGTTTAATTTGGCCAGCATTAAAATAATTACAGCTTACAACCAACATAATTCCATCTAAAACTATGATGCAATTTGTTAAACGGTTAAACAGTTCTAATTCCTATTGTCTGGAAAGAAAATTGTATGCTAAACATGCAATTAACTTTAAAAAACCACTAGCAGTTAAATATAACAGACTACATACTAATGGCGGCATCAAAATAGTAACACATGACGAATACCAAACCCGAAGACGATTACCTGGAAAGAAAATTTAGTTAAAAATGTCACCAACAATAACAGCAAAAACCCTCCAAATAAGATAAACTACATACTAACGGCGGCACCAAAAAACAAACACCAAACCCGAAGAACGTAGTCTGGAAAGAAAATTGTATGTTAAACATACAATTAACTTAAACAAAACACTAGCAGTTAAATAAAACAGATTACATACTAATGGCAGCACCAAAATAGCAACATGTGACGAATACCAAACCCGAAGAACGAAAAGAAAATTGTGATAGTTAAATATATCACTGACTAAAACAGCAAAAAAAAGGCCTTAAATAAAATATGACAAACTACATACTAACGGTGGCACCAAAAGACAAACACCGAACCCGAAGAACGTTACCTAGAAAGATAATTGTATCAATTAACCATGCAACTAACTAAAACAAACTACCAGAAGTTAAATATAACAGAATACATACTAATGAAAGCACCAAAATAGAAACACGCGATGAATGCCAAACCCGAAGAACGAAAAGAAAATTGTGACAGTTAAACATATCACTAAAATACAAAAAAAAAAAAAAAAAAAAAGCTTAAATCAAATATGACAAACTGCATACTAACGGCGGCACCAAAAGACAAACACTGAACCCCAAGAACGTTACCTGGATGCAACTGACTAAAACAAACCACCAGCAGTTAAATATAACATAATATATACTAATGGTAGCACCAAAATAGTAACACGCGATGAATACCAAACCCGAAGAACGTTAACTGAAAAGAAAATTGTGATAGTTAAACATGAAATAGCAAAAAAAAAAAAAAAGCCTGAAATAAAATATGACAAACTATATACTAATAGCAGCACCAAAAGACGAACACCAAAGTTACCTGGAAAAGCAATTGTGATAGTTAAACATGTCACTACTAAAACAGCAAAAAAAAAAAAAAAGACCTTAAATAAAATATAACAAACTACATACTAACGGCGGCACCAAAAGACAAACACCGAACTCGAAGAACGTTACCTGGATGCAACTGACTAAAACAAACCACCAGCAGTTAAATATAACAAAATATATACTAATAGCGGCACCAAAATAGTAACATGCGACGAATACCAAACCCGAAAAATGAAAAGAAAATTATGATAGTTAAACATATCACTGACTAAAACAGCAAAAAAAAAAAAAGATATTAATTAAAATATGACAAACTACATACTAACGGCGGCACCAAAAGACAAACACCGAACCCGAAGAACGTTACCTAGATGCAACTGACTAAAACAAACCACCAGCAGTTAAATATAACAGAATATATACTAATAGTGGCACCAAAATAGTAATATGTGACAAATACCAAACTCGAAGAATGAAAAGAAAATTATGATAGTTAAACATATCACTGACTAAAACAGCAAAAAAAAAAAAAAGGCCTTAATTAAAATATGACAAACTACATACTAACAGCAGCACCAAAAGACAAACACCGAACCTGAAGAACGTTATCTGGATGCAACTGACTAAAACAAACCACCAGCAGTTAAATATAACAGAATATATACTAATGGCGGTACCAAAATAATAACACGCGACGAATACCAAACCCGAAGAACGTTAACTGAAAAGAAAATTGTGATAGTTAAACATAAAATAGCAAAAAAAAAAAAAAAAGCCTGAAATAAAATATGACAAACTACATACTAATAGCGGCACATACTGAACCCGAAGAACATTGTCTGGATGCAACTGACTAAAACAAACCACCAGCAGTTAAATATAACAGAATATATACTAATGGCGGTACCAAAATAGTAATACGCGACGAATACCAAACCCGAAGAACGTTAACTGAAAAGAAAATTGTGATAGTTAAACATGAAATAGCAAAAAAAAAAAAAAAAGGTTTTAAATAAAATATGACAAACTACATACTAATAGCGGCACATACCGAACCCGAAGAACGTTGCCTGGATGCAACTGACTAAAACAAACTACCAGCAGTTAAATATAACAGAATATATACTAATGGCAGCACCAAAATAGTAATATGCGACGAATACCAAACCCGAAAAACAAAAAGAAAATTGTGATAGTTAAATATATCACTGACTAAAACAGCAAAAAAAAAAAAAAAGGTTTTAAATAAAATATGACAAACTACATACTAACGGCGGCACCAAAAGACAAACACCGAACCCGAAGAACGTTACCTGAAAAGATAATTGTATCAATTAACCATGCAACTGACTAAAACAAACTATCAGAAGTTAAATATAACAGAATACATACTAATGGCGGCACCAAAATAGAAACACGCGATGAATGCCAAACCCGAAGGACAAAAAGAAAATTGTGATAGTTAAAAAAAAAAAAAGGCCTTAAATAAAATATGACAAACTACATACTAACGGTGGTGCCAAAAGACAAACACCAAACCAGAAGAACGTATATTAGTAACATTAAAAGAGTAACACCGATTTACAGTAAATCATTGTTTATATATTCTGTGCTTGTGTAACATAAGATAATATGCTGTATATGATATATTGATATCAGTATTATATAAAACATTGATAACTTAATGTAAAGTTTATATAGCTTTTCTGCAATTTATATATTAGCAAGTGTAGAATTACAACTATTTAACACTACACTAGCTTTTACTACATAAAAAGAACTATATATTTATCAGAAAATATATTACCTGCCCATATCTTTCCCATTCGGCAATTACTAACATTCAGTATCATCATCGTTATAATAGTCAGGAGAGGGAGTACTAGGATGTGAAATAACAGAAGCATCATCGGAATGATCTTTGCACTCTTCTAAGTGTTTTTCAGCATTATTCTATAAGATTAAAGAATAAAAAAATATATATGTGATAATAATTAGAAAGAAAAAAAAAGCCAAAAATTTAATGGAAACAATAAGATATATTTAACTACTTACTTCAGCATTACCATCTCCTAGCTGTTGTATATTATTAATTTGTTTAGATCAGGCTTTCATGCAGGAATGAATTTCTCCACCAGTAAGAGAGGTAGTTGTGATTGTAGGATCAAACATCATATCAATTACTGCAATAGCAAATTCTTGATTGAGCTTTGAACGGTGACCTCTAAATACTTTAGTTATAATACGACGTATATATATGTTACGAGGGTCAGCATCTTCTGATAGATCAACTGGCACCCATAGTTTAGATTTTGCTTCTAACATTGCCAGGTTTGTTTTCCATGTTAATACTTCTTTCTTAGAAGCCTTCTGCCCAGGAATATCACTTATAGCTATCTTGCCAAGAACATTGACCATCGTTGTCTTTATTTTTCGTACATCATTAGCTCGTCTCACACGATATTGTTGGCAAGCCTAATAGCTGTTAATATATTATTTTAGTATTTGTAACAGATTTACAATAATAAAATTAACCAATTTTAAGATATTTTACATCATATTGAATAATATTTTCTCAATATTTATCACATCCTCCTTGAAAATTTTCAATTTGAATTATTTTTTCATAATAATTCTTTTTGAGCTTGTCATAACACATATTTTTCATTACTAGATCACTTGCATTTTTATCAATCTCAAGCAACTCGAACATCGCATCGGCAACATCATCCTATTTTAAAAAAACTTTCTAGATTAAACCATTTAAAAATAATATATAAGGCATAAAAAAAAAAACTATATATTTACCAAAAACCATTTTTTAATTTTCTTTTGCTTTGTAAATACTCCAGGCATTGTCACATCGTCATTATCATCATTGGTGCCAGTTATAATTTGTATAAGATTCTGTATTGATTCTTCAACACAAGACATTGTATTTTTAGTTTCACGAGCCAGCTCAAGGCTACTCATTGCGTATTGCATTGCCTTCTGGAGTATGAGACGATCTTCGTCGGCCAACCTTATACCTATATCAAAACTATTTAGAAATTATAGTTTATATTTTACATGAAAATTAGATACCAATTACCGATATTTGTACGTTCGAATGAACGCTTTGAAGGAATTGAAAAACCAGTAATTTCATAAGGTGACTTTTGTGATGATTTTTCATATGTTGGACTGTTTTCTGATTCAATATCCTACAATAATTAGAAAAAAGTTAATAAATGTTAAATAAAAAGATAAATATAAAAAAAAAATTATCTATTAAATTATCATAGACATATCGTCGTATTCATCAGCAGATTGTAAAGCATTTTTTGTTTTGCTATGATGCTGCGATAATTAAATATGTACATGCATATTAAAAAAAAAAAAAAAAAACAAATAGACGATAATTAAATAAAATCGTGTTAAACAGAAAAGTTAAATTGAATAGACTACTTCGCTGACTATTAGCAGATTGTTGATTTCTCAAATGAGATTGTGGTGAACTATTGGTTTGCA